CAAAAAGGATAACTGACAACCGATGCCCAGGAAAAAGCCAACCTGCTTAATGTGTATTTTGTGTCAGTTTTTCACCAGCTCCAGGGACAGCCCTGATCGATACGGTATGGGATAGCCAGGGTGAAGGAGAATTTTTACCTTACATCAATGTTGACCATGTGAAGGAACACCTTGAGAAGCTGGACACTTTCAAGTCAGCTAGCCCTGACTGTTTACACCCCAGGGTTCTTAAGGAGTTGGCAGGCATCCCAACAGGGAGATCCCAGCCCCGGCTCTGTGACTGAAGAGCCAGGGCTGGGATATTAAAATCTTCCAGTCCCAGCTCCGTGGTTGTGGAGCTGAGGCTGGGAGATTGGGAGCTCCCTGCTGCCAGGGCAGGGGGACATTGTCCGTGCTTCAGTGGCAGAGCCCGCCCTGGCAGCAGGCAGCTCCTGGGGGCAGGGAGCTATCTTCCACTTCCTGCTGCCTGGCTGACCAGGAACACATTTGCTCCCAGTCAGCTGTCTACATGTGCCATAACTACTCCTGAGTAAATTTGCTATTTGTATTTACAGGTAGCAAATTTACTCACAATTAAAGCAAGTTACTGTGCATTGTCTGCACACATAGACAGTGATGCTTACTGTGCAGTAATTTGCTCTAATCTTGAGTAAAGGGTCCCATGTAGATGCACCCCAAGTTACTTTTTATTCAGCTTATCTACTAATTATAATGAACTAGATTCACAGTATAATAGATATGAACTCTTGCGTAACTTATCTAACTAAAAACATCAACCTCTCTCCCTGAAAGCCCCTAAGTTTCTGATGCATTTTCCCTACCTATCTGCCTTTCTAGAAGTAGCTCAAGTGCATAATTTCTTACTTTCATATCTAGTGTCTCTCTAACTGGTAAAACAGAAGCAGGAAGGGACAACAGGGGAGGTCTTTTCATTCTTCCTGAGAAAGTAGGGCAATCAGCTAGTTACTTTAGGTGTCTGTAAATGAATGCATGGAGCCTGGGCAACAAGAACTGGAAGTCCTTGCATAGTCATGGAACAATGACGTAATCAGAATAACAGATTGGTGGGATAGCTTGCAAAACTGAAGTACTGCCACAGATGGGTATAAATTGTTCAGGAAAGATAGGCAGGGGAAAAGAGAAAAATAAGTTCCTCTTTATGTAAAAGAATGGTATGGTTGCTCAGAACTCCAGTATGAAACTGGAGATGGATCTGTTGAAAGTCCCTGGGTTAGGGTTAGAGGGAAGAGCAACAAGAGTGATGACATGGTGAGCATCTGCTATAGACCACCAGACCAGGAGAATGGTGGATGAGGCTTTCTTCAGACAGCTAGCATAAGTTTCCCAGTCACAGACTCTGGTTCTCATCGGGGACTTCAATCACCCTGACGTCTGCTGGGAGGGCAATACAGCAGTGCACAAGCAATCCAGGAAGTTTTCAGAGAGTGTTGGGGAAAGCTTCTTGGTTCAAGTGTTGGAGAGGCCAACCAGAGGCTGTACACTCTTCTTGACCTGCTCTTTGTAAACAGGAAAGGTCTGGTGGGGAAAGCAGAAGTGGATGGCAACTTAGGTAGCAGAAACCATGAGATGATTGAGCTCATGATCCTGAGGAAAGAAAGGAAGGTGAGCAGCAGAGCAAGGACCCTGGACTTCAGAAAAGCAGACTTCAACTTACACAGGCAGGATCCACTGGGAAACCAATTTGAGGGGGAGAGGAGTCCAGGAAAGCTGGTTATATTTTTTAAGAAACCTTATTGAGGGTGCAGGAATGAACCATCCTGATGTGCAGAAACACTAACAAGTTTGGCAGAAGACCAGCTTGGCTTAGCAGGGAACTCTTCAATGAGCTAAAACACAAAAAGGAGGCTTGCAAGAAGTGGAAACTTGGACAAATGACTACAGAGGAGTATAAGAGTATGGCATGCAGGGATGAAGCCAGGAAGGCCAAAGCACAATTGGAGTTGCAGCTAACAAGGGATATGAAGGGTAACAAGAAGGGTTTCTACAAGTATGTCAGCAACAAAAGGAAGATCAGGGAAAGCGTAGGTCTGTTACTGAATGATGGAGGTAACCTAGTGACAGATGATGCAGTGCTTTCTTTACCCGAGTCTTCACAGGCAAGGTCAACTTCCAGACTACTGCAATTGGCAACATAATTTGGGAAGATGAGCAGCCATCAGTGGTGAAAGAACATGTTACGGAACCATACAAAAAAGCTGGACATGTACATGAGATGATGTGGAGGGAGTTGGCTGATGTGACTGCAGAGCTGCTGATCATCATCTTGGAAAGTTCTTGGTGGCTGGGAGAAGTCCCAGGAAAAGGGCAAACATATTGCCCATCTTTAAACAAAGGGAAGAAGGAGGATCTAGGGAACTACAGATTGGTTAGCCTCACCTCGGTTCCTGGAAAAATTATGGAGTAGGTCCTCAAGGAATCCATTTCTAAGCACTTGGAGAAGAAGATGATCAGGAACAGTCAGCATGGATTCACCAAAGGCAAGTCAAGCCTGATTGCCTTCTGTTATGAGACTGGCTCTGTGGATGTGGGGACAGTAGTGGAAATGATATACCTGGACTTTTAGCAAGGTTTTTTGATGCGGTCTCCCACAACATTCTTGCAAGCTAGCCAAGGAGTATGGGTTGGAAGAATAAACTGTATGGTGGATAGAAAACTGGCTGGATCATTGGACTAGTAATCAATGGCTGTCTGTGTAGTTGGCAGCTGGTATCAAGTGGAGTGCTCTAGGAATTGGTCCTGGGGCCAGTTTTGTTCAATATTGTCATCAATGATCTGGAAGATGCAACAGCGTGCACCCTCAGCGAGTTTGTGGATAACACAAAGCTGGGGGGAGTAGTAGATATGCTGAAGGGTAGGGTCAGGAATCAGCAAGACTTAGACAAATTGGAGAATTGAACTAACAGAAACTTCATGAAGATCAGTAAGTACAAGGTCCTGCACTTAGGATGGAACAATCCTGTGTACCAGTAGAGATTGGGGACTGACTGGTTAAGGAGCAATTCTGCAGAAAATGACCTAGGGGTTATACTAGACAATAAGCTGAATAAAAGTCAACAGTATGCCCTTGTTGTGAAGAAGGCTAATGACATACTGGGCTGCGTTAGTAGGAGTGTTACCAGAAGATCAAGGCAATTGATTATTCTTCACTATTCAGCACTGGTGAGGCCAAATCTGGAGTACTGTGTCCAGGTTTGGGCTCCCTACTACAGAAAAGATGTGGAAATTGGAGAGTCCAGTGGAGGGCAATGACAATGGTTAGGGAATAAGACACGACTTCTGAGGAGACTACTGAGGGAACTAGGCATATTTAGTCTCAAGAACAGAAGACCGAGGGGGGGATGTAATACCAGTTTCCAACTATGTGAAGGGTAGTTTCAAAGAGGTTGGAGCTAGACCAGGGATGGGAAGTTATTTTGGCTGAAGGTCTACTTAATGAGATTTGGTGTCTTAACAAGGGCCATACTTTTCTCTTTCACTCTCTTGCTCTCTCCCAGAAGTGTAGCACACCCCATTCCCCACCCAGAGCTGCAGCACTCTGATGTGATGTGCACCCCACTCTAATCCGAGCCGTAGCAAGCCCCAATCCCCACCTTGACCCAGAACCTGCCAGCCATGTCTGCAGCATATGCCAGCATGCGCCCAGCACGGCAGAAACAACTTGGCCCACCCAGCAGAGCCACTGGCTGCCCCCTGGCTGGATCCCATCAGCTTATGGCCACCTGCCCATGGGCCAGATACAACCAGTTGGTAGGCTGGATTTAGCCCGTGGGGAGTATTTTGCCCCTCCCTGAGCTAGACTGTGCTCAGGGATGGCAGATGACAGAACAAAGAGCAATGGTCTCAAGTTGAGGCAAGGGAAGTTTAGGTATGGCATGGCCAGAAGAACTGTTCAGATCATTGCTATAGAAAGGTGCATTTTAAAATAAATCTAATGATCTACACCACTTAAAAACAGATATAGTTGTGCGATGTACAATGTTTGAAACCTGCCAGCTAAGTAATTTAGCGCTGTAGCCCTCGGGGATCCTCGGCTGCATCCACTATCTTTGCCCTTCCCATCTGTAGGTGTCTTCATCCTCCAGCTCTCGACGTTTCATTTCTGTACCTCTGGCACGATGTCTTCATGGTGGCCATCCAGGGGGCCTTGTCCCCTCCGACAGGCTCAGGAGCACTTTCTTTGGTGTCTGGATTGCTTCTGTTGGTTGGCCATGAGCTGTCCTGCTCCTATTTTCTGCAGCAATGCCTGCTCCACAGCTCGTTTTTATTTTAAAGAAATTTGTCATATTTGAAGCCAAGTCCAAATCCGCGAGTCAGTCCACAGCCGTAAGTGGCCCTACAACTGGCAAACATCCTCCACCCCCACGAGGGCATCAGATATTTTCGAAGTCTTCTGGCAGGCATCCTACCTGCAGGCCCCAGCCTGGAGGCTTGCGGTTCGGATGCCCCCAAGTTTCCCCTCGGCTGTACCGCCACAGGAGCAAGCTAGGGAGGAGCCTCCCATTTCCATACTTCAAGCCCCAACACCCTGGCGGGTACCAGAATAGCAGCGATGCCCGGCAACGCTTAAGGAAAACTGCCTTCAGGGACCCAGACTTGGCGTTTCCCCCGCCAGGCCCCTTCTTGGCTCTGGTGCCATGGGACCTCCAAAGGCTATCCCTGAAATCCGCCTTGCACGAGCCCCAGATGCAGGCACACGGGACGGGATGGGACGGAGCTCCCTCCCCTAGGCTTTGCCGCTTCAACAAGCCCCGTGTCCCGCCCGGGGGCCCGGCAGAGGCCCCCAGCCCCGGCGGCGCCTCCCCTCTGCCCCGCAGCCCGGGGAGGGGCCAACCCCTCGCGACGGCCGGACGCGTTTCCCTG